AGGTGGAAAGAATATACCATAGCAACCAAAATTACTGGCCAAGATCGTGTAATACAATTACTGGAATGCTGTGATGAAACTCTTAGGAAAAATATCACCCGCTCAGCTGGTGGAACTCTTACAAACAAAAGTGAAGAAGAGGTACTATCTGCTATCAAGAGACTGGCAGTACGTGAAGAAAATCCCATGGTTGCCCGAGTCATTCTACATGAGATGCGGCAGGACAGAGAAGAACCAATTCGTCAGTTTGGGGCAAGAATCAAAGGTCAAGCTAGCATTTGTAAATTTACACTTAAATGCCCTAACTGTGAAACAGATGTAGATTACACAGATTGCATATTAAGGGACATTTTAAGTCGTGGCATAGCCGATAATGAAATCCAGCTAGACCTGCTTGGAAATATGAACCAGAACATGGACCTTGAAGATGTGTTCAGATTTATTGAATCTAAAGAATCTGGGAAACGTTCATCAGCGACATTAAATGCTTCCGAAGGTGCCCATGCCACTAGCTCGTACAGACGCGCTCAAAGGTATGCAAAGTCTGATAAAGCTGAGATATGCAGTTACTGTGGGGAAAAAGGCCATGGTATTAAAGCACCATTTCGCACACGTCAGAAAATGTGCCCAGCATACAACCATATCTGCAAACACTGTGAACGCAGTCACCACTTCGACCACATGTGTCGCAACAAGAACAAACCCAAGCTTGGTCCCCCATCTTCATCCAATACCAAAACACAGTCAGTAACTAATCATGGGGAATCTGCTTTTATGGAGCATAGCAATGAGTCATTTTATACGCTATGTACAATAGGTGAATTGGACCACGACCGAGCTGCAAATGCCATTGCATTAGATCACCACCTATATAATCAGCTGAATGACAAGTGGATCAAAAGTAAATCAAGACCTCAACCATATATATCATTACAAGCCACTGTATCCTCTCAAGATTATTCTGATCTTGGCTTCAATGTAGACCTTCCAACTACATCTACGATGCTCAATGTAATGGCTGACACTGGATGTCAAAGCTGTCTTGCTGGTATTAAAGCAATCCAACCCCTTCAGTTAACTGAAAAGGATCTCATTCCAGTTAAAATGAAAATGCATGCAGCAAATAACAAAGGAATTAACATTCTGGGTGCTGTAATATTACGATTCTCGGGTGAAGACAAGCTTGGAAAACACCACACAACGAGACAGATCGTCTACATCACAGACAATTCAGACAGAATATTCCTCAGCAGAGAAGCATGCGTTGACCTCGGTCTCATTTCCATTGACTTCCCTCAAGTTGGAGATGCTTGTCAAACAGCCGGTGATACAAAAAGATATGAAACAAATGCCGATTGTGAATGCCCAAAACGCCAACCTCCGCCTTCACGTCCAACATCTATTCCTTATCCAGCAACAGAAGAAAACCGTCAGCGGCTTCAGCAATGGCTTATTGACTATTACAGATCCAGCTCTTTTAACATGTGTACCCACCAGCCACTCACAATGATGAATGGATCCCCTATGAGACTAATGGTGGACTCTGAAGCAGAACCCAAAGCATACCATACCCCTTTACCAGTACCACTACACTGGCAAGACCAAGTCAAGGCTGGCTTAGACCAAGATGTGAAACTAGGTGTTATTGAACCCGTTCCACTAGGAGAACCAGTTACATGGTGCCATAGGATGGTCGTTTGTGCAAAGAAGAATGGCAAACTTCGCAGAACTGTTGATCTTCAAGCATTAAATGCCCATGCTAAACGTGAAACACATCATACTCAATCACCGTTTCATCAAGCAAGATCTGTTCCACAAGGTAAAAAGAAGACAGTCTTTGATGCATGGAACGGCTATCACAGCGTCCCACTTCATGAAGATGACAGACATCTCACCACATTCATAACACCATGGGGGCGCTATCGGTATTGCGTTGCTCCTCAAGGATATATCGCTTCTGGTGATGCCTACACCCACCGTTATGATGATATTGTTTCCAACATTCCCAGAAAAACTAAATGTGTAGATGATACTCTACTATGGGCAAATTCTATTGAAGAAAGCTTTTGGCAAGCTGTTGAATGGTTGGATATATGTGGAAAAAATGGGATAACTTTCAACATTGATAAATTTGTATTTGCTGCAGACCAGGTGGATTTTGCTGGATTCACAATAACAATGGACAGTGTAAAACCTTGTCCTAAATACCTGCAGGCAATTACAGAATTCCCAACACCTAAAAACATCACAGATGTACGTTCTTGGTTTGGTCTCCTAAATCAGGTTTCTTATGCCTTCAGCATGGCCAATAGGATGTTACCATTTCGTGAGCTACTCAAACCTGGCACGCCTTTCAAATGGACTGAAGAATTAGATCAAATTTTTCAGGAATCCAAACAAGTAATCATCAATGAAATAGAAGAGGGTGTCAAGATATACGACAAGAACAAAACAACTTGCCTAGCCACAGATTGGTCTAAAAGTGGAATAGGATTTTGGTTATTCCAGAAACATTGCAATTGTATAGTGGCAAAACCATTTTGCTGCAAAACGGGATGGAAAATTGTCCTTGTAGGTAGTAGATTCACACATCCTGCTGAATCCAGATATGCACCTGTGGAAGGGGAAGCACTAGCCGTGGCTTATGCTTTAGACAAAGCAAGATTCTTTGTTCTGGGATGCACTGACCTAGTGATAGCTGTTGACCATAAGCCACTTCTCAAAATCTTTGGAGACAGATCCCTGGATGCCATATCCAACACACGTCTCAGGAACCTCAAGGAACGTACTCTCCGTTACAGGTTCCGTATCATTCATCTTCCAGGTGCTAAGCAGAAAGCCGCAGATGCAATATCTCGTCACCCAACAGGGGAACAGCACCCACCCAAAATGCAGCTTCAAGATGATATTTCTAGTACTGCTGAATCTTATGACTTACCTTATTCCGCTGACATCTTTCACTCTTTCATAGGAGGCATCAAACTAATGGATGGTGTAAATGATTACACTGACATTGAGGAAAATTTGATTGACTCTGCTATTTATGCCCTTGATTCCACAATTAAGTCAATTACATGGAACCAAGTTAGGCAGGCTACAGCAAGTGATGAAAATATGAATCAGCTACTGTCAATCATTGAGTCAGGAATCCCCAAACACCGCCATGAATTGCCACCTCCATTGCGTGAATACCACCAATTCAGGGAACACATCTACAGTGTTGATGGTGTTATTATTTACAAGGATCGCATTATTATACCACCATGCCTTAGGGAACAAATACTTTCTGCACTTCACGCTGCTCACCAAGGCATCTCATCCATGATATCCAGAGCAGAGGCTTCTGTATTCTGGCCAGGTATAACTGCGGACATCACTGCTGTGCGTGCAAATTGTAACCATTGTCACCAGATTGCACCATCACAACCTTCTGCGCCACCCTACAATCCCATACCACCAAAGTATCCTTTCCAGTGCATCTGTGCAGATTTTTTCATGTTTAAGGGTACTCACTACTTGGTCATTGTTGACAGATACTCCAACTGGCCAATTGTAGAATATGCATCTGGAGGATCTAAAGGACTAATAACTAGTCTACGCCGTGCATTCTCTACTTATGGGATCCCAGAGGAATTGGCTTCCGATGGAGGCCCTGAATTCACTTCTTCTGAAACACGCAAATTCCTTGAAGATTGGGGTGTACATCACCGTTTATCATCTGTAGCATTTCCCCACAGCAATTGTCGCGCTGAAGTTGGTGTCAAAACAGTCAAACGATTGCTTATGAACAATACAGGACCAAATGGTGAGTTGGACACCAATTCAGTGCAGCGTGCAATATTACAGTACCGTAATACACCTGATCCAGATACAAAACTGTCCCCTGCAATGTGTATATTTGGAAGGCCAATAAGGGATTTTATTCCAATACTACCAGGTCGATACGAACCACATCCTACATGGAAGTCAACATTAGCAGCACGTGAGGAAGCACTCCGTAACAGACATATGAGATCCGCAGATCACTGGAGTGAACACACTAGACGCCTACCACCACTTGCTATTGGAGACCACGTTCGTATTCAGAATCAGACTGGTCCGCATCCAAATAAATGGGACAAAACTGGCACTATTACTGAAGTAAAACAGTTTGACCAGTACCTGGTGAAAGTTGATGGATCTGGACGTGTGACACTACGCAATAGAAAATTCTTAAGGAAATTCATTCCGTATGTGTCATCTCTACCTCGTCACTCTATCATTGATGACCTAAAGCACAGATTTTACATACAACAGCCTACAGTCAACAATGACACACCTACATTCAGCAAATTACCAGANCCCCTAACCCTAACCCTAACCCTAACCCTAACCCTAACCTTACAGTATGAATATATTTCTTAAGTTGAATTTTGTAAAGAAATGTGTCGTTAAAAGTTATCTTTATTAGTTACAATATAATTAGTTTTTGAAGTTATATAATTGATTCAGTGTTGCAGTGTTAAATAATTACTCTATTTCTGCGAAGTGAACCCCAAACGTGCTGGAATACACATGTAAATAAGCTACCTAATCTGATCACTGCTCACTATGCCACTCAGGTGTATCGTTTGAATATGCTCATTCATGTGACTGGGGCACATTCATCTTCACTCAGAACAAAGACACTCAGATCAGACTCAGACCAGACAGAGGGTGTAACGCAGTTTTCTTTCTCTAAGCCTCCAAAATTATGTAAGTTCTATACTAATTTCATATAGTTATTTTATAAGGACTATTTTTTATTTGTAAGGAATATCGTTAGGTATTTCTGTATTTTGTAAGGCAATTTTGTACTTTTTATTGATTAGCAGTACTACAGTACAATATGATGCAGTGCAGTTTTAAAAATATAGACACAAAATTCAATTAATTCGCAAAACCTAACCCAATATATTTATTCTTTTTGTTACTGTCTATTTGATACGGTCCACTTCACCAGCGCAAGCGTTATTCACAATGCTTACTTGACTGTGCATTATGAGTATTGCAACTGTTAGATTAAACTGCAGGGGACTGGGGGAGTGTTACATAAAAGAAGAGACGTACTGAATTATTTGAAACAATAATATAATTCAGTATATTGTCTTCAAGATACTCAACTTACAGAAAACGACAAAAAACCAATTGAGAACTTATTTTTGGGGAGGGGGGGGGTGCAAATCCTCAATAGCTTAGGAAGATCGTACTCAAAAGGTACTAAGTACTGCCATACGTTTCAATAACAACTTTTAGTGTAAAAGTTTAAGTGATGTGATAACACGAGTGATTAAATGGTAGTTGATTTCCTCATAGATCAAAAATTATCTGTTATTAATGATTAATGTGTATGGAGCAAATAGAGACTTTTTACGAATACATGTATCTGTGATATTATTTTTATAGCTACAGTAAGATAAACAACCCAAGATTAGACAAGAGATTTTACGACTGAAAGAGAACTTTAAATACAAACCCATGGAGAGTGAAACATTATTAGCATAAGACGCAATAGAAGCGTGGACGACGCCCTCAGTATGTGCATACACAGCATTTTAGAACACGTGGACAAGAAAAACACAAATGCAAGGATCTTATTCATAGGCTACAGATCGGCTTTTAACACCATTATCCCACAAAAAACTTTATTTCAAGCTTTTTAATGACCTGAAATTTCTTATATTTTTATGCAGTTGTATATTAGATTTTTTTATCAGACAGAAATCAGGCAGTGAAAGTGGATACAAGCATTTCTGATACTGTGTTTTTTAATACATGTGCGCCTCAGGATTGTGTCACCATGTTTGTACAGATTGTTCACGTTTGATTTTTATCCGTCCCATGGAAGTAATTGCATTGTGAAGTTTGCTGATGACACTGTTTTAATTGGTTTAATAAGTGATAATGACGAGACCTTGTACAAGAGCAACGTAAACTTGGTTGTTCAATGGTGTAACGATAACTGTCTGTTACTGAATGTACATATATCAGACACGGCACCCTCTTGTACAGTGGTGTAAAGATAACTGTTACTGAATGTACATATATCAGACACGGCACCTTCTTGCCTGGTACGCAGTATGATAGCGTTGATTCTGAGCAGTGTTGGAAAATAGTGCATCTCATCAACATTCACGCGCTACTGCCATTTCCCCTGTTTTCGTTTCGGTGCGGAGTCTGGTAGTTGGGTAGGCCTGAATTCGCGACCACCCCTCCCTCCTTCCTGCTACATGACACTCCCGGTAGAAACACCTTTTACAATTTACTCATGTGCCTTTACACCACTCCCTTAAATCACTCCCAATTTCGATTTTAGATAGTTATACTGTTACAGACAAAACTCAGCTCAATCCATGCCTAGAAACAAAGTTTCTGAAACTGAGAAACATGACCGTGATCAAATGTCATAAGGCTTACATTACGGTCTTACGCTGTAATTTGATGATTTTTTTAATGTATATATTAAATTATAATTTATTTAATTCTATATTTATATCGTTCTGTTCACGTGTTAACATTTATTTATTTATGTATTTATTTATTTATTTATTTATTTATTTATTTATTTTATTTTTTTTTTTATTTATTTTATTTTTTTTTTGGAGGGGTGGATAAAAAAGGAACCCCCCTCTTGGAACTCCTGGATCCACCCCTGCACACAAAAAAAGGACAGGAAGAAATTAAATAGAGACCACAAGGACGGCAGTTGAAAGAAAGAAGTGGAGGGGGCTTAGTCCATGGAGTGTACCAATAATCCTTAATACATGGGCACCACGAGGACTGCCTGCTGCTGATGATGATGTATGCACTTATTGATCCTTTATGTTTTTCAAAATGATATAGTTATGTCAAAAACGAGATTCATGTCCTACAAGAGTGTACTTTATATACAGACTTAAGAAATCAGTACAAAAATGACATACAAACAATGACCATAACAGATGCTATTTCTTCGAGAAACAGTGACTTTAATAAAAGATTGGCAGGTTAATTGTATCATTGTAACAAAAAAGAAAAATTATAACAAGACCGCTGACTAAGTGGACGCCATGTATATCTCTATTTTCATATTTATACCTTTGTTACTTTTACTATATGTGTTCATCCTCTAAGATAATGTGTTGAAATATGTACTCTGCAGGGACTGAAGGCCTGAAATACAAAATAAATAAAACTTGAATTTTGTTCAAGATAAATGTGCAAAGGTAGCACCACTGCTTACATTGGTTTTGTTATGGGATTCGCACCACATGTCTCTAAATAATTGATGTCATGCCCATGCAAATATGTACACCCTATAGCAATTGTAAAATTAATTACAAAACGTCTCCTAGAAAATATTTTGATAAGCTACAAACAATATGCCATTTATTTTAATGTGATGAAAGAACCGCAACATCTTTACAATGTAAACCATTGATGACTTACCTTAGCCCTTCAGGGGAGTCCTGACGACAAACAACCTGGTAAGAAGTGTTTTCTCTGCAAACAATGATTTATCTAAGACAATCAATTATCTTTAAGAAATAAAGCATCAAGGTATTCGGGTTGGTATTAGTTGTTTCCTCCTTCTATCTTTTTCTGAAATCCCAATAGATTCTTTAACGCGCAAAAACTTTCATGTGATAAAACTGATTTTTGCCGTTCTACACCTTGAAAAAGACAGAGAAAGTGAGATTCCAATACCTTTATATATGGTATTGGAGTTTAATGTTGCATTGTTCATGACTTCTGGCTGTTTACTTGAAGACATACTATGAGGAGGTACATAAGTGTTAACACATTGTTCATTGGTACTGTATGTTATACATTTTAAGATACAGGAGAGGTATATTTGCGGGAGACGGGGAGATTTATAAAAACGTTAATTCCATCGCGGTGTTTTTAATGTCAATTTATTCTATCATATCGACGGCTAATCGGATTTGATGATCGTGTGTGTGTGTGTGTGTGTGTGTGTAAAAATAGATTGTTAATGAGAAACAATCATCTTAAGCCCTTCCCTATCCCAAACCGTTATTCTGACTCTAACCCCAAAACCATAAAAACCCTTACCCTCAACTTAAAATTTAATTCCTAAGCATTTACCCTTAGGTTTTGATTCTGATGAATTTTGCTCATGATAAATGTCAAAATATAGCGCCAGTGTTTTACATTGATTTCGCTATGTGATTCAGTCCACATGTTTCTTAATAATTCACGCTATGTTCATGCAAACAAGCACATCCTATGGCGATTCTAAAATGAAATACAAATTGTTTTCTAAAAAAAAACTTTTTGATAAGTTACAGTAAACAAAACATTATTTATTCATAATGTGATGACATCTTTATATTGTAATTCATGATGACTTTCCTTAGCCCTTAAAGGGGGTTCCTGAAGACAAACAAACTGATAAGAATTGTTTGTTCTATTAACAAAGCTTCATTGCTGACAAGCATGTCTCTTTAACAAATTGATTGTAATGGTTTCCTGGGAGGCAAATACTAGTTATTACCTTTTGCAACACTTTTCTGAAATTCTAACAGACTGTTTAACACAAAAGCCTTCAGATGATAAATCATCTTTTTATCTACAGCTAGAGAAAGACATAACATATAGTGAAAATCCAATAACTTAATGTCATAGCTGCTAAGACGTTGTTATTGAGCACTGGCTGTTGTTCACTTGAAGATATACATGTAGGAGAAGAGGATGGTTTTCTCGGGAAACTGGAGAACGCGAAAAATGGTAATACAATCGTGCTGTTTTAATGTCAGTCATTTCTATCATTTCGACGGCTATTAGGATTAATTAATGTTTCATTACATATATATCTTCCCAGTGTATACCTATAAGAGATAAAAAGAGGGGGAAAAGAAGCAGGCTAGTGGTTTGAAATATTTATTGTTTATAATTGGAAATTATTATGATAAAATTATGATGGAAAACTAACAGATAGGTTATGAATAAGACGTGAACAAAACAATACTAGTTACATGTACGACAAGAAGTAAATGAAGAGAGTGAAAACTTTATATAATTTTATACAAGTATATACAAATTGAACTATAGGCCCTAGTGCCTTATTTTCTACAGTTTGGGATATCATCGTACTAATTTTATACAAGTATATACAAATTGAACTATAGGCCCTAGTGCCTTATTTTCTACAGTTTGGGATATCATCGTACTAATTTTGTACAAGTATATACAAATTGAACTATAGGCCCTAGTGCCTTATTTTCTACAGTTTGGGATATCATCGTACTAATTTTATACAAGTATATACAAATTGAACTATAGGCCCTAGTGCCTTATTTTCTACAGTTTGGGATATCATCGTACTAATTTTGCATATGAATATCCATAATTCGTTTTTGAAGAAGATGATTTGTTTATCAGAT